TGAAGTACTCTGCTCCATGCTCTTGCTTTCATGGTTTGTGAAGAGAAGTCGGCCGTAATTCTGTTGGATTTTCCTTTGAATGTGGTCTGCTTCTTTTCTCTAGCGGCTTTCAGTATATTACTCTAGTGCTGAATTTCTGTGACTTTGACTATATATGCCTCGGTGTGTTTTTCACTGGGTTGAGGTTACTTGACGTTCTGTATGCTTCGGTTACCTGAATGTCAGATTGTTTCCTCATATATGGGAAGTTTTCTGCTATTACTTCTCCCCATATTTTTAAAATGTCATTTGTACTGACACCTTCTTTCTCATTGATGCCTATTAGTCTCACATTGTTCATCTTTGCATCATCTTGCAGGTGATGAATTATTTTTTCCTGCATCCTCATTTTTATTTATTTTTATTTTTATTTTTTGGTGGAACCGGGGATTGAACTCAGACCTTTGCGCTTCCCAGGGAAGCACTTATTCTACTGAGCTGTCTCCCCGGCCCCAGTCCTCGTTTTTAAGAGATCCTTTCTTACCTTTTCACTAGCTGCACCAGCGTCTTCAAGATCTGCAACTCTGTCTTCACTTTCTCTTAAATGGTTTTGCAAGCTTGTGATTGAGATTTTAATTTCCTCTATATCTCTTTGACTTTGCTTCATGTGATCTATTTCTTTTCCTGTATTGCTCATTCAAGGAATCCATCATTTTTCTAATCTCTATTTTTTTTTTTTATCAATGTCTTCTTTAGTAGGAGTTATAAATTCTTTCACTGCAGTGATTTTTTCAGATTGGGTTTCCTCCCTGTGTTTCTGTAGTTGCTTCTTTACTTCAGATGCTATGAGTTCTGAGAATTCTTTTTTCATTTCAGAAAAAAATTCTGCTCTGAGTTCCTCTGTAACTTTCTGCTGTTGCTTATTTACTATCGACACTATTAATTCATACATTTGAGCTGGGCTAGTGGAAAGGAATTCAGCTTTGAGTTCCTCTATGACTTTCTGCTGTTGCTTATTTTACCATCGACGCTATTAATTCATACATTTGAGCTGAGCTAGTATCTTCTGCATTTGTTCTGGGTGGGCATTGGGTTTCCTGCACATGTTTCTGCGTTTGATTCTTTACTGCACATGTTATTAATTCAGGGATTTCTTTTTTCATTTCCAATATGAGTTCCTGTCTACCTTTCTGCAGCTGTTTCTTTATTTCAGAAACCGTTGATTCATTGCTTTCAGCTGTGTGATTCCCAGTTTGTTCTGTGTTAGTGTCCTGTGCACTTGTTGTGGGTCGGCAGGCGAATCTAGATTCTAGACTTAAGGTTTTCATAGAGTAGAAAGTCTGTGACACCTCTCTTGTATAGATGAATTTTGCATTTATCCTATTGTATGTTATTGCTTGATTTCATATGAAATGCTTTTTATATTCCTTTTCAAAAATACAAGTGACACCCAGGGATGGAGCTCCAAGATGGCTTAAAAGGGCTTTGGCAATGCTTGTGGGTGGCGTCAGCTGTACGTGCATCTAGTTGGAGAGATTTAGACCCAGAGGCTCCTTGAGGTCCCTACACTCTTAAAATTGTTTGCCTTTGATTGTTTTTGTTATTTCATGTTTGGAATACATGATATTTTCTGAGGAAGTGGGCACACTACTTACTTCCTGATTCTTTTTATTCCCCTTTCTGGGCCAGGGATGTAGGTCAGTGGAACAGTGGCTGCCTAGCATGTGCAAGATCCTCAGTTTGATTCCTGGTACAAAACAATAACAACGAAAACTATCAGATAAGAAAAAAATTAGGAGTTTAGGGCTAAGGAAATAGCTCAGTGGTATAAGTGCCTGCCTGGCAAGTTCAAGTTCCTGAGTTTGATCTCCAATTCTGCAAAAACAAACAAAAAACCAACCCAAAACCTCCCAATAAAGATGTCTTGTGCTGAACATCATAGTTTGGAAGAAGAAAAGTTGCCTATTTATTCCCCTTCCTTCTTCACTCCTTCTTCCTAGTCTCTTTAGATCCCCTTTTCTGTCATCACCGTCATTACCACATTTGGGATCTGCAAATATTGCATTCATTGAGGGTAGTTGGTACATGTATATATTGAATCTTAAATTGTTTTATTCTCTTCCCAGGTATTTTAATGAAGGAACTGTCCTTGCACACTACGCAGATGTGCTGGGTCTTTTGCTTAGATTGCGACAGATTTGTTGCCATATCCACCTTCTTACTAATGCAGTGACATCTAGTGGTCCCTCAGGTTGGTTCATGCTATTATATTGGTTATATTTAAATCTGAATGAGAATTTTTATAGGGCCTAATTTGTAAATTTTGTTCTGTTAAATGGACATTAATGGTAAATATACACTGACATTTTATCAGTGAAATAGAATTCTGAGTCCTTTTCAGAATTTTCAGTGATATGTATATTTAAATGAAAATTTCACTTTAGATCTGCTGTGTTTTCTCTGTTAGTATGGATAGGCCATGTTATAATGATGTTTCTTTGTAAGTTATGTAAATTAACTAGTGTCTTCTGAATTTTTCTTAAAATTTCATGTTTAAGCTTTATAATGAGCAAAAGATGAAAAACTACCTATGTGGTATTGACAAACAGTGTTTTCTTACATAGAGTAGATTAACTTGTCACACTGCAAATCTTGTTCTGAAATTAATTATCCAGCCTTTTCTTTAGAAAATGAAACACCTGAAGAACTGAGAAACATGTTAATAAAGAAGATGAAGTTTATTCTGAGCTCTGGTTCAGATGAAGAATGTGCAATTTGCCTGGATTCTTTGACAGTTCCAGTGATTACACATTGTGCACATGTGTTTTGTAAACCTTGTATTTGCCAAGTCATTCAGAATGAGCAGGTTAGTTTTTTGCTCCTTAGGTTTGGTGTGTGGTGAAAGCACCTTTCTTTAATGTAAGTGAAAGCTGACGTCTTAACAATATTAAAGATTTTGGTTTAATAATGCCCTTTAATGGTTAATTATTGCAGTAACTTAATAGGTGATGTGTCTCTGAAGCTTTTGTAACATAAGAGGTATTGTCTTATAGTAATGTGAGACATAAAGGTAATTAAAGTTGTCTGTTAGCCATTTTTTATAAAGTAAAAACCATGAACTTAATTTTTATCATACATTTTAATTTAGGCCAATATATCTAAAATAACAGTATTAATATGTTCACTTTCTAAATTACTTTTAATGTAAGTCTCCATAATCTGATAGAATAGTGTATGCTTGGCTTGATCACACTTCGAAGAATTGACCTGTGGCTCTTTGCTATTATATTGAATAAAGCAGGTCTGCATTTTATGTGGTAAAATATTTTGAGGGCTTAAGCAATCTTCAGCTAGTGCACAAGCTTTTTCTTACCACTTTACATTGTTACATGTAGAAAAATATGCATTATAACTGTATAGTTTACTGAATTATCATAATGTGAACATGTTCATGTAAACGATTATCCAGGTCATCTTTTAATCATTAACCTTCTCTTCAATAAGTGACTCCATTGTACTAATTCTAACAGTTCTGGTTTCAGAATCTATTTTATTGTAGTGGTATTTGGTATCTAGTTATTTAAGATGTAATCTCATTTTACTAGTAGGTGCAACAGATGTTGCTGTGAATCAACTTTACAGGATTTAGCTTACCTGCTAGCTTTATAAGCTGTAATAAACTTTGTAAACTCTTAGCTTAATAAGGCATTCAGAAGGATATATTTTTCTGAAGAATAATTTCACATAGTGTGCTGTATTTCTTTTATTCTGAATATGTATGATTCATACTTTGTTTTTTTTTCTATTATAGCCACGTGCTAAATGTCCCTTATGCAGAAATGATATTGATAGAGACAATTTACTAGAATGTCCTCCAGAAAAATTGGCATGTGACAGTGAGAAAAAGTCTAACATGGAATGGACATCCAGTTCAAAGGTAAAGTACATTTAAAACATCTACATATTTGCTTTATATTTATGTAAGGAAATACATACCATGTAACAAAACAGTAATTCTACTTTTAATCCCATCACTTGAATATAGTTTTGGTGGCCACTGGTTTTAAAAGTGATACATTTGGGAGGAAAAAGAAAGGGATTCAGATTATTACAGTATTCCTTCAGTATCTGTATTTTTTTAGTCTTTCACTTTTGCCTTTTAGTTAAGGAAAATGGCAGGACATTTTTCTTTAAAATTTTGGGATTTTATCAGTACAAGTTATGTGGAGATGTCACTACAAACCACGTTAACATGCATAGTTTATATAGTTACTGCATGTTAATTTTATACATTTTAAAAATAGATTACGTTTATTTTTCTAGTTGAAAAATAGAATCTAATGGTATCTTAATTTTTTTCAGATTAATGCTCTAATGCATGCTTTGATTGACTTAAGAAAGAAGAATCCCAACATAAAGAGTTTAGTTGTTTCTCAGTTTACAGCGTTCCTGTCTTTAATAGAAACACCACTTAAGTGAGTTCAATAGTGATTTTCACTTTTGAGTAAAAGGGTTTTATGTATTTGCATTGTTTCTTATACTAAAAAAACTCATTGTACCAATTTTAGTCATTTCATCCATGTAAAATGATTTTCAGAATCAGAGAATATTTCCTGAGATAGGATTTGAAAGATAAGTCCTGAATTTATTAGAAAAACATGGACTGCAGTGGCTGCCATAATAGTATGTGCTCAGGAAACATTTGTTAAAATAGTGAAGCTGGGTGTATGGTTTATTGGGAGAAAACTTGTCTAGTACATTTAAGGCCTGGGATTCAGTTTCCAGAACCACAAAGATAGGTAAATAAATGAAAGAATTTATTGAATTAAGATTTATGTTTAACACTTTTTTTTCTACTGTATTAAATGTTACTTATCTCGTCCTCATTAGAGCCTCTGGATTTTTGTTTACTCGTTTGGATGGTTCCATGGCCCAAAAAAAGAGAGTTGAATCAATGCAGTGGTTTCAAAACACTGATGAAGGATCTCCAACTATAATGCTGCTGTCCTTAAAAGCAGGTGGAGTTGGTTTGAATCTTTCTGCAGCTTCTCGAGTGTTTTTAATGGACCCAGTAAGTAGTTTTGTAAACTTTTCAAAATGTTATTCCTTCATCTAAAAAGGCAAAAAACTATTTGGTAAATACATTCATAGTTATAATTATGAAAAATTTTAAGCAAATTTTTGAAATGGATAACTTACTAAATATGTATTTTTCAGGGCAGTCTTTTGTGAGGGAGGTAACATGATTGTCCTTATTGTATGTTTATTTATTTAGCACAGGGTCTATAGGGTCTCACTACACAGATCAGACTCATAGTGATCCTCCTGTTTTCAGCCTCCAAAGTGCTGGAATTACAAGCTCGCACCACCATGCCCAGTCTGTTTTTATCTTATTTTTTTGTGGCAAGCTCAGCCCACCCTGGGGGAAGGACTGGCGTGGCTTATGGTGCCGGGGATTGAACACTGATCTCTGCGTGCTTGCCTAAGCTTGCCTAAGCAGGCTCTTTAGACCACTGAGCAATCTTGCCAGCCCTAAGATTTGTGATTTTAGCTTATTGTTTGAAACTGGGAAGATTCAGGTGGAAATTTCTCCCCTCTTCTGAGGATAACCTTCTTGGTAAGTTTATAGCCAGTCAAATCTACGTATTCATGATGGCAACGATCTGCATTTGCCAAAGTGCTGTGGATGAAATTTTAGGTCTTCATTAGTTTTTTTTTTTAA